CATTGACGCATACACAAACATTTTTCTACAGAATTTTGGCCTGAAAAGCTAACTTAAAAAACCGTAATATACACATGATTTGAGCTCTATCTAGTGAATAGTCTTAAAACGATACGGCAGTTGGCCACGAGGAAATTATATACTGGGAAGCTTTTCGAATTCCTTATAGTTTTTATCAATCTAGCAATTTTTACATTGCGCATCTTATTAGTTCACCGGAATCTTATTGATCTATCTGTCATCTTACATAGGTGGGATAGTTCTTACATTTTTATGCTCCTATATCTTCCAATACTTCACAAGCCCTAATCTTAATGTGTTTCGAATAACCTATCGTTTTGTTCAGAACCCCATAATTTATTCAATCGTTTCCTTCCGTAACAGTGCATGATAAGACATCTGACGTACTATCTAGATACTATGGTTGTGTGACATTGCTATTTTTATGGTATGGTATTCCAACTAGCTGTGCTTAAAGTAGACCACTGTGTTCATTCAAATTGCTGCAGTGCACGAGCTTAGCATCAAAAAGGAGACAGAGAGGAGTTCCTGATCACATAGCATGACAGTGAGGGAGATACTTTAAAAGTGCCCATATCAAGAGCGGTGGCCTATTGAAACCAATAGGTTTCGTGTTCGCCTCTGTATCTTCACTGTGAAAAAACAAAAATATCGTGCTTAGGTTGTATAAATGGGAGTAGCACATCTGTGTGTCATCTCGTTATTTCTTGAGGTTCGTATAACTAATTTTGCTATAAGGATTTTCAGCGTAGTCTTTCTATTATGCCGGATATCTAGAAAGGCTCGTTTTAAATTTATTATTTATATGTTAAGACCGCTCACGATGTGAAAAGGAGTATATGCCACACAGTCATCCAGGTTGTATAAAGATATGAATGACGAGTGTCTGATTATAGCAGGTTTAGTAGGGTCACGTAGGAGCCTAGATCCAGATCTAGTAAATAAGACAAGGAGCTTACACGTTTTCCAGCAGATAGAAAGGTCACATCATAAACAAGCTTGGCTACAGTATATCAAGCGTCGTTTTTCACTTCACCACAAATCCCGAGTAGGACAGATGGAAGTGGATCGGTTCATGTTTACAGCCTGAAGGTAGCTTCACAGCTATCAATCAAACCTGCCCCTCACGTCACGAACAATCGAATCATCTGGTTTGTGGAAAACGACTGGTTGATGAATGGGTTTCTGAGGGTTGGGTTGGCGTTACCCTACCTTTTCTCCTCTTTCAAATGTTTCGTTTGTGCCAATGTTTTCGTATTAGCTGGAATACTGACTTGAGGGCTAGTTTGGAACTTCAGAAACAAATTCCGTACATCGTTTGGAAGCCGGAAAAGTCTCTTATCTTTACGTTTCATACCTACGCTTCTTCACACATCTGGGCTTTCAGAGTTCCAGATGCATCAGGTGGTTTGTCATCATTGATGAGTAATTGGTCTGCAGTGAGTTTTGTCTGATGTCTTGATATCAAATTTTACAGGACCGTATTAACCTGGCATTGAGCATGTTTTCCGAAATGCTCATCCTTTCATTATGAAGATTTGGTGCAATGAGTGGAGGTTCTTCAACCTCACAAATCGAGAGGGAATTGGTAGATTCTGTACCCAGTTCAAAAGCCGATTTTAATAACATTTGAAGGCGCTAGTTAACTGCATGTTTTCTAGTGCCACTCATCAGAAATTTCACACCATGTTTTCCCGCCCAATCGGAAAATAACAGCCTAATCTAACTCAGCAATCATTGTTTTCGAAGTTAAAGTTGCGTAAAGAAAATTCCCTTCGCAAAATATATCTAGCAGAATACAAAATGAAAAAGCGTGTGGGATGATCGATAATGGGCAGAAGTCAACATAGATGTCTCCGTCAAGAAATACAGGACTGATTTTTATTCATGGTGCTCAACAAAGTCTATATGACTTCAGTCTTCAGTCTTCAGTCTTCAGTAATAAGGATAGGAGGTCTGTCGACCTATATTAATCCTTGCAGTTTGTAATACAGTGGAGGTCCAATCTCGTTTTGAATATATTAACAGATGGTGCTGATATTACGTGTTCCGGTAGAGAATTCCAGTAATTCACTACTCGGTGCGAGAAACGGAACTCCAGACGTAAACGGTTTGATCTCGGTTTTTGAACTTTCTTCGAATGTCCTCTCAAATGATCGGTTCTAGACGGGAGCAAAAGATAAGACATGTTAATACCAAGGTCATCGTTCAGTATACGATAGGCCAATATTAGATCACCCCTTATTCTACGGTAAGATAACGGAAATAAGTTAAGGTGTCTCAGTCTGTCTTCATAAGATAGGCCAGATAGACCTTGTACCATCTTAGTAGCTCGTCGTTGGACTCTTTCTAGCATATCTGCTTCATATTTGAAACAAGGACACGCTGCTTGAATCCCGTATTCTAAATGTGGTCGCACATAAATCGGGTATAGTAATCTAAACATTTCATCATCTAAATACTGTAAAGACCTACGAATTGACCATAATACCCTATAGCCTTTCGCAGCAGCAGCCTTACAGTGACCAGTCGTTTTGAGATCATTGCTTAATATGACTCCTAAATCCTTATAGTTTCTTACTTTGGGTAGCACGAATCCACGTAGCGTATAGTCATACGATTCATCAGAGTTATTTAACTGCATCACTACACTCTTATTAGGATTTACTTCTAGTGACCACCTATCTAACCATGCCACCAATGAGCTAAGATCGTCCTGTAATACTATCCTATCCGACATACTATGTATGGGTCTCCAAATCTTTATGTCATCAGCGAAGAGTAGAACGGATGATTTTGCTACAGTTGGCAATTCATTTACATAAAGTAAAAAGAGAAGAGGACCCAGGATTGTACCTTGGGGAACCCCACTTTTTACAGGTACCCACGAGGAGAGAGTCCCATTAACCCTTACCCTTTGTCTCCTGTCATGGAGAAAGTTACTTATCCAATCGACTACTGTATAATGGATTCCAAAACGTTTCAGTTTGAATTTAAGACCAGAGTGGGAAACCTTATCAAAGGCTTTACTTAGATCTATGAAAATCACATCCACAGGAGTATTCCTATCCTTTGCCGCAGCCCAATCTTCTCGTGCAATGAGAAGATTTGTCAAGCAAGATAGGCCTTTCCGAAAACCATGTTGTGCCCTGGAGAAAAGATTTTGCCCTTCGACATAGTTTATGACAGCTATCCGAATGATTTTCTCCATCAGTTTTACAACTGCACTAGTTAAGCTAACGGGTCTATAGTTACTAACTAAATCCCTACCCCCAGCCTTATACACCGGACTTATTATGGCGTCTTTCCAGTCTCTAGGCAGTTTGGACTGTCTCAGAGACATGTCGAATAGTATCGCTAATGGTTCAGCAATTTCATGTGAAATGGCTTTCATAATCCTAGGATGAATATCGTCAGGACCACTGGACTTATCAGGTTTGAGATGTTGGAGTAGCCTTAAAACAGTATCTTTCTCAATGACTACAGGATCCATCAGCGAGCCGTCACGGTCGCAACGAATCATTGGTCGTTCCTCATTACCGATAGAAAACACTTTACTAAAGTATTCCGATAATGCTTCAGCTTTTTCGGCATCATTGTCTGCTAAGATTAACGGATTTTCTCGTATCAAAAGTGATGGAATTCCATCACTTCTCTTAGTTCGCCTTTTTATATACGAGAATAACCGTTTCGGACTATATCTAGAATCCCTAACCAATTGTTTTTCGTATGATAGTCTAGTCTTACTTATTAACGCTTTACAGGCATTCCTAATCTTACAATAACTGGATCTGTATTGTTCTAAGCCAGTAGAGATGAACATATCCCAGTGATTCTTCCTTTTTCTAAGGAGTTTCCTGACCGTTTTAGTTATCCATGGTGGACTATTATTCGGTCTTCGCGGTACCAGGTATGGTATGAACGGGGACGTAACTAGTCTAAATTTACCTTTAAATACAGACCATGCTTCTTCAACTGATATGCTAGTATCTACTAACCAATTTGTCTTAGCAGCACATTCCTGAATGGCTGATATGTTAGCTTTCCATACATTTGGGCGAGGTGTAACCTGATCGTATAACATGTCCCTAGTACGAAACGTGAATGACAAAACAGCGTGGTCGCTGTTCACTAACGGCGGGAGAATATTGAAGTCGACAATATCCTCAGTCTCATGAGTGATTACCAAGTCCAGCAGAGAAGAACCCTGGTTAACACCAAAACGTGTGGGTTGGGATACATGCTGTACTAGTGCATGCTCCATTATTGTTATCAGGAACTTACTATCAAAGGAGTTTATAGATCCTGCTGTGGTCATATCAGTCCAACTAATATCAGGTGCGTTAAAGTCTCCTATTATCAAACATCTGGTATTTTCACTCCAAAGATGAATGTGCTCTAAAACAAAGTCATCAGCTAGGCAGATTGGGCTGCGATAGATGACACCGAGCATAAATGTACTACATCCGATAGCCAACTTACAGCTAATGACTTCACAAGTACCGCTATCATGGGAATCTCTAGTAGAGGAGCGGATATTTATGCTATTAGCTATGTATAACAGGACGCCGCCTCCTTTCCTACATCTATGTCTGTCACTCCTGATGCAGTGATATCCGGATAATTCTGGAGTAATGTCTAAGTCATCGACTAACCAAGTTTCTGTCACTGCTACTATGAGTGGCTTTACCCTGTCCACTAGTGCTTCTAGTTCACAGAACTTATTTCGTAGACTACGAGCGTTGGCATATAAAACTCCTAAGTAGAACAGCCTATCCACACAGGCCTTGGTAGCATTCGCTTCCAAGACCTGTGTGTGAAAAACAACAGTCACTCAGAAGTGGAACAAAGAACTCAATTGGGTTTAAAGGAGGATAAAAATAAGATTGAATTTCATTTTTTAAAGTTCGTTTCTGAACTTACTAAGTTTCAGAGTATTGGAACATTGTTTGAAACTTGTTTGTCCGCACTCACCATAGTTTCGCCATTAAATGATGAGTGAGGACATCGATGTGTCTAAGCTGAAAGTACCAGAGTTGAGAGCCGAATTAGGTAGGCGTGGTCTCAATACTTTTGGGACAAAGCAAATTTTAATGGATCGCCTAAATGATGCTCTCAAATCGGCATCGCCTAATCTTGACAAGAAACAACCGGCAGGTAGGATCATCAAATCATTTGTCTCAATTATTAGACTCTGAAGAACAACCCCACTTGGCGTCTACGACTCTGTCGAGGCAACCGAGTCAAAACTCAGGACGTGATGTGCTGGATTCAAGTCCTAACGTCTCCCCACAGCGTGGGTGTGAGAACGGGGTGAGTGATTCATGTCCGTTTGTAATTTTGTTAGTTAGTGAATGAAAAGGATAGCAGTCCAAGTAATCAACATCAAAAACCAGACCAAGAAAACCTCAAGCGTAGGCGCTCACCATCACACTCTCCCCGCCGCAGATCTAGGTCTCGAGACAGGGACTCTCGCAGGTCACCCCGTAGACGTTCCAGGTCTCCACAGGTCAAATCAAAAATGGTTCCGGAACCAGATAATTGGGAAGAAAGCGTATCTGTCTTCTTAGACACTTACAATTGTGATCTAAACCTTATAATCGATGCTACTGGCTCTCAGGCAAAACCTCTGACAGAGGGTGGTTTCTCACTAATGTGGGCTGGAGTAAGAGCAAACTATGGCTCAATATCTGGGAAGGTAAGTGTTAATGTTTCGCTTATGTCGTAGTCATTTTTCGAAGTACGGGTAGTAAAGAATCTCCCTGTTGAAAACTATGACAGTTTGGTCGGCGGGTCAACTCACGTACTACGAGTTGGCTGGTCTACGGAAGACACCGATTTCACTCTTGGTGAAGAACCTCAGTCTTTTGGCTATGGGGGTACGGGGAAAAAGTCTACAAACAACAAGTTTACTGACTATGGCTGTACATTCGGAGAAGGTGATGTCGTTGGTGCTTTCATCGTAAGTTGTGTGTTTATCTCATCCTTCAGGAATGGACAAATGTTGAAGCTCTGTTAAGGTTTAGTGTTAATGGTGTGGACCAAGGGGAGTGCTTCCGTGTTCAAAAGTCGCAGTTAGGAGAACGTTGTGTTTTATTCCCGCATGTCTACGTGAAGAACGTTGAGTTTGCATGCAACTTCGGACAAGAAAACCAGTCTCCTTGGTTTAGTCCTAATATCCCATCTGGTAAGCTTCAGTCGTTTGATTTTGTTTTCAAGTAACTAAACAGCCGGTCTCCTAAAAGTGTGTGATTCACATTAAGGGTTTGGTTGTGAAGCTTAATTGATTGTCTGCAGGGTGTTGCTACACTGTCCGATCGCTAGTTTTAGCGGTTCATGTATCTGGTAAATGCCACGAATTCATAAACTTTCATTCAAGCTACTTGTTGCGGGAGACCTAAGTGCATTTCCTAGTCATCCAAACTTGAGTAAGTGTCAAGACTCGCATTTACCACCAAGACAGGTCCTTTTTGTGGTAGAAATCGCTGTATAGTGTAGTTCGTCAGGCTGTTTCAAAAACTTGGTTGCATTCAATGTCGTCCTTTCCATAGCTTCCCTTAGATATTTCAGGAATAACATCTGTTCCCTGAACTTTTAGAGGTTAGTCCACCGCCACTTTCGATGTAGAATATGTAACAGTACTATTTAAAAGCATTGATAAAGGTTAAGTCTGGATTGCCATGAGCAACAATATGAATACTAATGACTGACTGACCACGTTTATGATCCGGTTGTAGATTGCACAACTATCTGGATGTGTGCTAGGTTGAGACGCAGTTCTCAACTAGTTTTATTGTTTGGTTATCAGGAACATGAAGTGATATAATTCAAGTGTCCATGGGAAGCAAACAATTATGAGATAGCCAGCCAGACTCGATAGTTCCACGCCAACATAATCTGTGCACATTAGTTAACCGTTGTTTACAGTAACAGCTCGTGCCCCTAAGGTTTTATGATACCAGTAGTAAAACCTGTAGCTAAAGCGCGGAATTGTTTTCCTGCTGTATATGAAATCCTGAATGGCCTGAACTGAATCATTGCCATCTTCCGTGCTTCTGTAAATCCAAGTCTTCATTGCGTACCTCAAATCTGTCGTCCTCACGCTTGGGTGTATGTCACTTTTTTGTTTCGTCCCGGCGTATCAAGTGGTTTGCGTTTTGCTTATTCTATATATTGAAATGGATAATTTGTCTTGTGTGATATGACATACTTCATCACCCGCTAAACAAGTGCCTAAGTATCATTAGTTTAAAAATAATGATCACAGCTCAATTTGGTTCTAATTTTGGGCTTTTTCGGCTTGTGTGGAAAGTTAATTGAGTTAATAAAGCAAAACAGTATGGCTTTTATGCTGTTAGCTCTCTAGGCTTAAACGATTAGATAGCATATCTTAAAGAGCTTTCTTCTAGGTAATTCCAAAAGTCGACGTTTAACTTCAGTAAATTAACACACCACTGGGAGTTATACTCTGCCATGGGTGCACATAATCTCTACCACATCCTCTGTACAAATGTCAAACCTTATAACAGTCTCTTTATTAACTGCTTAAATTCCACCTCAAGGTTATGCACGATTCTTAGTCTCATCGTAAGTATTATGGGTAACAGTATGAACCGCTAACGTATTCGGTTTACGATTGATGATACTGAAATACACGTTTTCCATCCTAAATAATAAGAAGTACTTCGGATTTGATCCTCATCAATTTTAGAATGTAAGTTGGTTCAAAATATTGCAAGTATAAGGTTCTGCAACTAGGCTTTCCCAATATTAAGTGGTTTTATTCGTATTCACTGATCACTATTAACTAAAATACCTAAAGATAAATGTAGATGCTTCCTATCTCAAAGCATTGATAATTAAATGGATGAATTCGTGGTACAATCTGCCAGCGAGTCAATGTGGAATGTTTCCAACTACCAACATCCGAATAGAAATATCGTACTGTACGTTTACTGTGTGAACAAATCAGGTAGGACTTGTAAATCTAACTGTCGTTTTCAAGGAATACTTCAAACCTCAGTTAATCAGTCTTCGCCACCGTGGGAAGGTTGTTAGTAATCACAAAAAGATAATTATTAGCTACTTTCTCTTGTAAGCGTTTACTGTTTTTTTTCTTCGAAGAAGTGATTCTTCATTCAATTAGTGACTACGTGTAATAGACGAACCTTTTAGTTTACTAGGTTTTTCGTCAATTCACTAATCGACTGATCCATCCTTCAGAATCTATTAAATGAACTTTCCAATATGACAAACTACGATTAGACCTAACAGTTACGACCTATTAGGTCGTAATTTACGGCAGCGAGACATGGCCATTAAGAGTAGAAGACACTCGTAAGCTATTAGTATTTGACCACAGATGCCTTAGAAATATTGCTGGCGTCTGCTGGGATCACTGGGCAAGTAAAAGTGAGGTTAGACGCAGGGTATTAGGAAAGGATGGTAAATCAGTTGATGAGGTTATGAATCTTCATCGACTGAGATAGTTGGACCACGTGTTTCGTATGCCTGAACACCGATTACCACGACGTGCAATGCTATCCGGTATTGGAAATGGTTGGAAGAAAGTTAGGGTCGGCCAAACCAAAACGTGGCATCAGTGCTTAAAGTCACTAACTTCTAGTCTGAGCCATGTTGGTAGATGCAGACTACTTAGTTGGGGTCCGCGTGACTACCGTAACCAATGGTTGGAGACCCTTGGTGACATGGCTCAGAATCGATCACAATGGCGTCGGTGTATACACTCCCTGTCTTCCCTTAAACTAAGAGATTAAAATCTTTCTTTCTACGAACCAATTCTTTCTTCTACTATATCTCTATATGCAGTCTTTCTCTTATATATTACCACCTTCTACCTAACCACTGTTATGAATCCGGTGTTCATCTTGTTGTGCTGATGCGGTATGGCAACCTGGACCGATGCACATATGTGCCTGGTCCTACGTTGTAGCTGACTGACTGACGACCTATTAAATTGCAATTGGCCAGTCGTTGATGACAGTTAATTATACGGGTCCCTCTTAATGCTAATAATCCAGGCATATTTTACGATAAAAGAAACCTACACAGGCTAGTAGTCTCATCGTTGGTCTTCAGTCAGTCAGCTGAATTTGTCGATAATTCGGTCTTGTGAGCAGCCATCCCTCGGGCACAAAGTGTCATCTGTTGATAACCACCATTTTTTTCTTCACTGATGTAAAATCCTTTCATTGAGACATAAAATCCTGCTCTATAACACGTATTTACTTTGTTCTTATGTGTATTCAAGATTCTTTGTAAATTTATTCAATTTTCCAGATGATCCTTTATCTTGGCAACAAATAAATTGTTTACCCCTATCATGCCGCGTACATGGTCGCTGCCCACCTCAATCAAAGTCTGAGTGTGAGGTGATTATGATGGTAGGACTACCGGGAGCAGGAAAAACGTATTTTGCTGAGCAACAGAGAACAGAGCATCGTGAAAAGCAATATAATATACTAGGAACCAACCTTATTTTAGATAAGATGAAAGTAAGTTCTAACCGAGTAAACGTGTAGATTTCTCCACTTGTGTATAAAAAAAACTCATACAATTTCTTATTTTAGGTAATGGGCATTGCACGACAACGTAATTATCACGGGAGATGGGATGTTTTGATTGACAAATCAACGAAGTGTTTAAATACACTTATCAGTATGGCGTGTATGCGCCGTCGCAATTACATTTTGGATCAGGTCAGTTATTTCTCATAGACACCAATTTAATAGCATCAGTAGGTTTTCTAAAGTTATAGTATTGCCAAGGGATTTCAATGCATTAAATTAGTGGACGAGTCGTAGGGGTTAATCGTAAACATTTCTAGTTTTCTGTAATGTATTTTAAGGTATTAAATTTCCTACCAATATGTATTACAAGTTTGTTTTTATTGTTAATTATCAATTTATGCTTATGAACTAAATGTTTTATTTATTAAACTGTATTCAGTGGTCTCCGTTCCAAGACACCCCATATGAGCACTGGTCGAATAGTTGTTCACACTAAATGTACCGATGTTCTTGATCAGTTTGCTCTAATGATGGTTTTCTTGGATCGTTTCTGCTGCAATAGACTGATTTGGCGAAGTACATGTTAATGAACATGTATAATTTTGTCCGAATTTACATGCAAGGTACCTTACTTGCTTTGCATTTTTGGTATGTACCTTGCAACTGGATTTGGTCCATCGTACAAATGCGCACAATTATCTATTCCTGGTGGTGGCACTGATATAACTTCGTTTTTTCTCTCATTCGCTCGGTTCCATCTCCTGAACCTAATCACAGACAAATGTGTACCCGTCAGCACAGCGCCGTAAAATGCGTCCATTTGAAGGTTTCAAGCGAAAGGCCATTGTTATCGTTCCTACTGACGAAGAATTCAGGCGGCGAATTGCCCAACGGGAAAAAGAGGAGGGCAAAGAAGTGCCTGAAACTGCAGTTCTCGAGATGAAAGGTAGTTTTCTTTGTTGGAAATGGTGGTATAAAGTCCTGCAAGTTTTCCTTGGATTTACTTTTAATGAATCTGCGTTCTATTTTATACTTGGGCCTACTAATTGGTAAATCCTATTGTACTATTTTGATGAATACTTAAGTGCTTACAAATTTGTTTGCATTCATTTAGTATTTGTTGGAACAATAATCGTTCTGTAATTGGTAGTATGTAAATATCTATTTAGAAAGGAATACAGTTCTCTCGATAGTTAATCTTCGAAGTTTCCATCATAGAAATGCAATTGTATGAGCAGATACAATCTGGAATGCCTGGTAGTTTACAGATAAGTCTCAGCTAGTTATTTGTTTTTGTGTGACTTGTAGTTACTCGCATCAAGAGATAGCAACTGCCTGGTCTTATGTTGTAGATGACTGACTGAGCTGCCATGAGTCCGTCATTTGACCTTGTGTTTTTAAATTCATAGTGTTCACTGGAAATGGCGGCCGGAGTCAAACTTGCTGATTTCTTGCTTTCTCTAGACTGCGAGTAATTATGGGTTTCTCGATTATTTTAAAGTGTTTATTCATGTTGAGTATTTGTATTTGTTTCCCACCCAGGTTCTGACCAATCAAAACTAACTATAGCTTAATGTACCGTAGGGTCGGTATTTTCTGTCCTTTTTAACGACAGTTGGAATCACAGTGAAATCTGATTTGACTTAATTCATCCACCCCTTTAAGCATGTCAGTTGAATGTGGAATTTTTTATTTCTTCAGTAAACGATAGCTAAATTTCCCTCAAATCCATAAAAAGTCAGTAGACTCATCACAATGCGACGGTTACAAAATGGTCCTACCAAACTACATATTATTACCAAAAAACAGGTATTGTTAATCGTTCACACTATGCTACCCGGAAAAACAAAACGTGGTTCTCTACTACTCAAGCGTCTGGATTGTATTTCGTCAATCGAAAGTAAACCTAGCGACTGGTTACTAATCAGTTGTCCGAATATACTTAAATAAAAGACACGGTTACTTTCATTTACTTGTTTCGATTTATGTGCTGTTTTAGCTTTTTTCCTTGTAAACGATTTCATGTTCCAGCTAAGTCAGGAGGAATAATTTTTCTCTTTCAGCAAATTTCGGAATTCCTAGACCTGTATCTGAAGATTCCTCTAGCGTTTTTGATGAGGTTGTCTTTACCGAACTTGGTCTGGATGATGCAAAAGTCCTAGTTGCTCAATACAATCAAGAAGGACAGGCAAACAGGCAACCACCGGAAAAGCGCCAGCGTTGGGACGGTGGGAACCGTGACCGGGATGACTCACGCAATTCACGTTTCCGCGGACGGGATAGCCGAGACCGTGGTCGTGACATGCCACGTGGACGACGTGATGATTTTCGAAGCTCTCCGAACCGCCGGAATGATGATCGTGGTCGCCGTGACTACAGGTAAAATTGATGTGGTTAGGAGTAAACGTGATGTGATTTAGTGATTCCAGGCTTCTCAACAACTTCTTTTTACCTTTCAGAGGTGGTTACAATGCCTCCCGTGATCGCAGTCGTGAGGGAGATCGCTTCGATCGAAGTAAGTGACAGCTGTTGATAACAGTAAGATTCATTACTTATTCGGTCTCTTCATAACACTTTATTTTCGTCCGTGTTTTTCCAGATAGCGACCGAGAGTCGTTTGGTCGTCAACCCAGTGGAAGGTATGGTGGTGGTCCTCCTAGTGGTCGTTTCGGGGCTCCGAATCGCGGACCGTTCCCAAGTGGTATGTCTGGACCGGGTGGTTTCGGAGGTTTCGACAGTTCTCGCGGTGGTATGATGAGAAGCGGTCCTGCAAGAGGCGGGTTTCCGGCACCGAATTTTGATTCGCGTGCTGGACGGGGTGCCTACCGTGGTTCAATGGACCGGGTGAACCCAGGTTATGGTGGACCAAATGACCCAATGTACAGTCGCTTTGATGGTAATGCAGGTGATGGAGAGCCAATTGGCAATGCCTATGATATGAACGAAGCTTCACTTTCTCAGCCTCCGTATGAAGGTACGTTATCACTTTGATTATCCTGCAACACATTTCCATCATTTTGCCCCCTATTTATATATCTACGTATATATATTTCAGGTGGCCCAATGAGTGGAGGCTTTAGAGGAGGGTACGGAAGTGGTGGTCGCGGTGTTCAAATGCAGGGATCTCGTGGAGCCCCCGGTCGTGGTGGAACGTCAATGGGACGTGGAGCAATCGCTCCAGGACGTGCAGCTAATACTGACAGGGGTGTTGATCGTAGTCAACTGGGCCGCAACGCGCCCGTTTCTGGTCGTGGCGGTACCCAGCCTGATCGTGACATGATTGGTGGATTTTCCGATGATAGCCAACAGTATAATATGTACGGTGGTGCGGAAGGTTACCAAAACCCGACTGAGGAGCAATATCCAGGGCCACCAAATGATGATTATCGAAACAGACGTTTTGGTGGACCAGGTCCTTACAACTCAAACGCATTGCAAAAGCCTGGTGGTGGTTATTCTGCCTACCAAAGAGGCAATCCCCCGTTCTCCGGTGGTCCAGCAGGATATCCAAATGCACCTGGTGGTGGTTACAACCGAGGGAATCTCCCTTCATATGGGAATCCTAATTCTGCTTCTAGTTATCCCAACTCATATGCTGGTGACCAAGGTAATTTCACAAACCCTGGCTCAGATCCTTACAGTGGAGGTATGGCATCAGACAGGTCTGGAAGACCTGGAATGCAACAAAATTCAGGTGGTCCTTTTGGAGGATCCCATGCTTATGGTACCAGTGATCCTGATAAAACAACCATGTCACAGAATGAACATTCAAGTACAGATAGTTCTAGCTTGTATGCATCTGGTGCTGCTCGGTATTCCGACAATCACCCCTCTGCTACCAATATCCCTCCCGTTCCTAGACAATCACGTTTTGATGCCAAACCAGAAACTAATGCACCTTCCCAGACAAATGCATATAATAGCTATCCTTTGGGATCCAGTTATCCAGGCGGATTTACTTCAAATGGTAATCAAAAAGCAGCTATCCAACCATCTAATCCTCCTGGGGGTCCTAGAACTGGGCGCAGTCGGTTCGATGTTGGACCCCCTGCTTCCCAACCGATCCCTCCAGCTGCCCCCGTACAGAGCACTACTTATAACCCACCATCACAACCAGTTAATCGACCACAACCTCAAGCACAACAAACTGCAACGTCGATCCAGGTAAATTATAAAATTATCCATTCTAAAATATTATTAAACCTGATATAATGATAAGACAGCATTTCCTATTAACTATGTTATGATGATTACCAATGTCATTCGCTTACTAACGTTTGAAGAATGCTCATCCTTGCCCTGATAACGTTTTTCCTCCTATCTCGTTTATGAAGCTTGTTAATTTTTTTTTCAGCAAGCTCAACCACAAAGTTACGGGTATGGTTATTCTACTCAGAATACAAAACCTGATGGAAGTAGCAATGCAAACGCCCCTCCCGTTAGTCAATCTTATGGTGCGTACAACTATGGGTACGGATATGGTACATACGGGTCGCAAACTGCTCAACCATCTGCAACGGTTAGTCGATGTGCACCCACTACTGGTACCACCCAACAGTCACTATATGCCTCAGCTGTTGCTGAAAAACCCCAACTAACTCAACAGACAACCGCTCCAGCAGTTTCTTCCGCAGCAACTACTACTGCCACATCTGACCATTCGACACCAGCTGCAGCAGCTTATGCCTCCTACTACTATGGTGCTCCTCAAAGCGCTACAGGAAGTACCCAAGGAGCTGGGAAGTATGATGCAGCGATGGTCGCTGCACAACAATTTAACGCTTGGCAACAACAGCAACAGCCTTCGGCTGTGTCTGGTAGCGTATCCAGTAGCGTCCCAAGTGCTCCAACCGCAACAGTAACTCCACAGACACCAGCCGCAAATCCTTATGCAAGCTATTACCCTGGGTATTCTACTTACCCATCTGGATATGGTACTATCCCAGTTGGCGGAGCTCCTCCAGGTGGGGTCCCAACTGCTGCCGCTCCGCCAGCAATGAGTCAATATTACACCGGTTATCGCTAAAATTGATTTATGAACTTAATTCCTCGTAATACATTTAGTTGAACTCTAATTTGTTTCACATTTCCATTGTGCTATCTTTTGTCTCACTCGTCCTGTCCATTATGCACAAGTGTTATAAATCAATCATTAAAAGTTTTTTATTATATCACAATGTGTTTCGTACAAGTTCATTTGTTTGCAAGTATATGAGCTAAAAAATTATGTCTGTTCTCCAAGCGAGTTCCTTCCATGTAGGAAGCTTGTATGACGTCTGATCGGAAACACGGTTCCTTCGTTCTGCATCAATCTCACTGTTCCACTTTTCACGATATCTTTCCCACCGTGCATCATCTGCATTTGCAGTAAGAAACCGACTTTCATTTGAGAGTGTGGCTTCCAATCGACGCAAGTCACACCAACATATGTAATCCTGTCAAAACGATAAAGCTCGGTTTTAGAAATCAAGTTGAGCTAGCAGGTATTTATACCTCCGTTAATTAAATCGCTTTTAGTTGCGTTTTGAATGAGCTTACCTGCATCCAAATGTGGTTAAGGCTTCTCTCAACGGAGAATCGGTTTCGCAGACGTACTTGCAGCAAATGTGTTATTAGGTGTATGGCTTATAAGAATACATATATTTCCCAAAGTGGGTCTTACCGTCTTCAGATATGTTGTCCCATGGATCACTTGGATACATAAATTCGGCATTTTCTATCTGTTCGGCTATATCTTCCTCTTCATTAAACGGAAATGTCCCACTAAGACTACCAATTTCAGGCACGTTAACTAGATTCGACATAATCTGATTTACCTTACATAAAGTATCACTCCAACAGACCACATGTCGATCCCTCGGTTGTACCCACGGTTTTTCAGTACTTCAGGAGCTGAAATGAAAAGTGGAGTGTTATATCTTTGTAATCCCATGATCTTTTCTCAAGTCTCTAAGATCACCTTTTATTACGACTTAGGTTTCTAACTTACCTAGGTAGGCTGGTGTACCAACCAGCGATCGCCTGAAGGACTTATCGCCTATAATCCTTGCAAATCCAAAATCGCACAGCTTGATCTGGGGAAACTGTTGGGCTACACTCTGTAAATAGAAAAAAATGGGATAGGAGTTAAGTTTCAAGGAGAGCAATGTCCTTCTCTTTTGACCATAGATAATTTCATTTGGTTGCACATAAACGCATGACGGCAATCTCGTTATTGTGGGGTGTAGTGACGGCATTTGTGCTGCTTTGGATGACATTTGAGCGGCTGTATTACTCACGGTCGGTGTAATCGCCTGCTCACCACTGCGACGTATGTCTTGCTTATGCTGCCATTTTTAATGGCGTAGGTGTTATCCGAGGTTCTTAACACATCTTACCTGAGAAACTTCTGGAAGTCCCATATTATTCACATCTGTGTTAGGTGGTATAGCCAGTAGGACATTTTCTGGCTTGAGATCACAATGTACTATGCTTCGCAGGTGGAGATATCGCAAAGCGACTAGTATTTGTGTCACCAGGTACTTCGTAACTCGTTCTGTCAGTCGACCTTGTGGCGATCCAAGGATCATTTCCAGCATATCACCTGCTAGTTTTTCCATTACCACAAATACCTGAAGATTAAAACATCCAACACAAACTTTGTTAGTGAGTTGATTACGACAAGTCAACTAAATATAATTTTCTGACGCTTCGTGACTGAGTAAGCCACTTCTTCAGAGAAAAAAGAGTACATAAAGAAACCAAAGCCAGTTTATTAGCTCACTCTACAGGTAGATGATCACGAGTTACATTACCATATGGTCGCTCAAACTGACATTCAGAAGGGGTTATGACTTGCGAACTAGAGGGCGGGATTCGAATTCTTCGGCCATTTAGCAAAGCAGATTTGAGACTAGCAGCTGTGTAAGATACTATACTTAGAAGTAATGTCTAACCGTTTGTAAAATCTCACTTGTCTCACCAATTATGAATATCAAATAAAAATCTTACTGCATTCTGTCTTGACTGCCTGCTGAATCTATCTGTTCAGTCATATGTAAGTTTTGAACCGAACAAAATGTCTTGATAGTATTATGTACAGTATACTTTTACTTCGGCCTATAGTATTTCTGAACTTTTAGTGTTTAGTTTTACAGATTTACTAAATGTATACTCACTGTAGAAATATCAATCGATCGGATTAGACCGTACAGGTAGTGCAAAGAGATATCATATTAGGAGCCAAAATTTTATGAGTAAGTGTTGTCATTATTGTCTTTGGTGTTTATTCGTTAACATGGTGTTTATGCTTAGTGTTCATATGAAGAACTCATAACCAGGATAGGATTGTCTCACGGTTACCCTCCATAGTTTCGATTGTTCATCTTATTCACGTGACTGTACATAAAATCGGTACATATATGTTTGCTATCCGTTAGGAATTTGTCACAATGGCACTCAAAATTTCAATAACTTACGCGCTTTGGTGTTTCAAACATTCTTTCAAGATTTACCACTCCGGGGTGATTAAGATTCTATAAAACAATTAATAAAACGTTTAACATCCTCTAACATGTGGTTAAATTTAAGGAAAAGCAAAATCATGAATAGAGATTAACTGCTTCAGGACATCACGAGTATCGAAGTCGAATATAGATTGCCTGTATGCCTTGACAAATTTAGATAACTGCTGAAAAGCCACTGGACTCCTATTTTGTTTTAGCATGGAAACGGATGGCAGCAGGTACTGACGACAATAAGGATTCAACATGCCCTTCGTGATAAATACGTTGTTCGAACCCAACGATTTGCATTTGTACTTCAGTCAGTTCGCGATATTGCGCACCTACCATCGGCGATACTTGTTTCATGCCTGCTATGGTTGAGCTTCAGTCACAACTTATCACTGGTAGTTCACACATTTCCTCATGAGTAACTCGGTGAAGTCCTTCGTTTCGAGGTTTACATCACTGGCCGTCACATAAAAAATTATGTTCATTAAAACCGGAAATCACTGCATAGATGTCTTACTATATATGTCCATATAAATATTTTGAGTAATTTCGTCACTCTACTAACAGCTTGACGTGGTTATCCAAAAATTAAAATGTCAGATTACCAGGAAAGGAAATCGTCATTCATGCGATATTTATCATTCGATTTATAGGGAAGATATACTAATTTGTAATCGCGAAAATGAAATAACTGATTTCAGGTCAGTAACTGGGTCATTCCCAATTGTGATGAAAAAATAATTAGTTGTGGTAAATGAAGTTAGATCAACACCATTTTATCGAACATTTTGATAGTGAACAGTGTGCATTCATCTGGTTTAAATCTCACTGTACTTCGATTGGGATAGCTGCGTAGTGTCCGTCAAATTTCTCATGACAAATGCTACTCTAAGCCACCTTTTATATATTCTTCACCATGTACAGTTTGTGTAGTCGGTTTTAAGCCGCACTTTCGACCTGTTGGATAGTGACAGTTGTATGTTGCTCAAACCAATATTTGTGTTACCTTCGCAGTTAATTGCTGCAAAAATGGGCTAACTTACTGATTGGCATCGAGTTGATCATATAGTTATTCATTTACTCTTGGTATACTAACCTTAATGTTAATCTTGAGAATATGCTGTACGGAATGGATTTTCAAATATTTTCACTTATAGGAAAAGGTATTGCAATCTGTAAAGTACTTGAGGATTTTACAAATTTTATCATTCACTTAGATTGTTAATTGAGGCTATAGTCAAGTCACAATGAAGGTTACGTTGAACTATTAACCTGTAGATTATCAGCTTTTAAATTGTAATTACGTTACTGAAAATAGTGCATCCTATTTTTAAACAATGCAGATAGTGGATGTATGTAAGTTGTGCGAGTACCTATCCAGAATTTTTATCTCCATACTCGACACCTGTTATACAAGTTGACAACAAAATTCAAAATCTTGCCCCTTTAACTCATCTACTACCATATACAATCGTTACTATACTTATAATTATGAATATTCCCCAAAGTTATCCTTATCAGATTTCCCGGCTCTTTAGCAACTGTAAATCTGTTCTGCCTACCTAAAAATGTGATGAAACATTTTTTTATTTATTGATTTAGTGGAATACTGAATCAATTTAGTTCAGTGTTGATATAATGAAATAGATCTTAATTCGTTGAAGAGTAAACGACTCACAAAATTGACATCCGATCGTTTTTACATTATATAATCGTACTTATTTTGTATTAATGTTTTCTAGATAAGCATTTATTACATAGAAAACCCGTTTCTACTTAACAGCTATTTTATCTTCTGATATCAGTTTATTGAGGACATGCCTGCCAATCGATCAAATAGTATCGTTGGATATTACCTATCGAGAGCGGTTCAGTTCATTCATTCATTGAAACCATGGAGTTTTAATGTATAATAAATAATGTTTTCATGCTTGTCACAGTTACGAACTGATAGTGTTTTTTTTTTCACTTGACGGGTAATAAGTAAGCTTAGTAATCAATTTCCAATGTCATAGATTTGTGAATAGTCTATAAAATCCATGTCTAACACATTGATGTTGTGGATTTTAAACATGCTTATTTTATGTCCAGAAATGTGACTCATCTCTCGAGTAAATGGTTTAAGTCATAGACTTGGTTTGAGGTTTAGTAATTTTGACCAGTTGTTCACACGAAAATAACTTGAGTCAGGATTGAACTTACAAATTACTAGGTAGAAAATAAATATTTTAACTACAAGACATCTTATCACAACTAAACAAAAATGAAAATCAGTATAATCATTACTTTGAATGTATAAACTAACTTATTAAGTAGTATTATATAATTTTATCATAAAATTATTATTATTGTTATTAAATACTTACACGCAGAATGGATACTTCATTCTTTAGTTGTGCCTCTCTTTTAGTAGGGAATCGTAATTTGTCAATGACTTTAATGGCCACTTCACGTTTCGTCTTACGATGTATACCTATGAAAAAATGGATGATTTATCAATGGTATGATTACACCTATATATATACACACTTCAAGACTGATATTTATCGGATAACCAGGAATTACTGAATGACTGATTCATCCCAACATTATGAGTCGTTTGAATTATTATATTGTTGAATCCACCATCTTTGGGTCTCGAAATTCTTT